TTGTGTAGTAGTGTTGAGTAGATTCTGGCCTCTCACCTTCAGATTGCCCATTGTGCCCTCTCTATAAGACCTACTAGGCGGCCTTACGATCCAAAATCTAAACCAAATTTGAAAAAGAATATATTATGTCACCCTAGAAACATCAATTCTATGCCCATCAAAACTTATCTCCTTATCTATTTGCACTCCCTCTTAAGTGATCGCAACAGCTTTGTCCATAATGAAGTGTGACACTCACTGTTGGGTGAAATCATAACTGTCATGTATATTTATGTTTCTCAACAGATTTTAACCTCACAAGTGACATATTTGTAAAATTAATGAAGAATTGGTGAAACTATCATCACAATTTCTAGAAATAAATATATATATATATATATATATTTAAATCATTTTCATCCCATAATATTGGTGAAACTATCATCACAATTTCTAGAAATAAAAAAATATATATAAATTTAAATCATTTTCATCCCATAAGATTAATTCCAAAGTACAAGAATAAAGAAAGGGAACTACTTAGAATTCATGCATAATAAAAAAAAACAACAAATTTATATTGAAATTGAAGTCTTACAAACAATAACTTAAATAGAAATACAATGTACCTTATCTCTTCTCCCCAACACAAATTCTGGAGTCTCCTTAAAGAAATCTCCAAACTCTTACTCTTACAACATAAAACAAACATAAACTCCCACTAAAAAAATAAAAGTGGGACTTCCTAAAGAAAAATTATTTTGTCCGAAGATTGAACGCAAGCATACATGTGGTAGCCAATTAAAAAGGGACATGCGGAATTGTGGGCCCAACATCAAAATAATAAGAAGAAAAAGTTTTTACAACGTGACCCAACCCGAGCCCCACCCAAGCATCCAAAATTCATTTTGTGTCATTTTTTGATCCCACCAAATTGAACTTCTTCTCATTTTGGGTCCCGCCAAATTGCAAAAAAAGAATATTTTCTCTCATTCTTATTTAGGGTTTAGGAATTATTTTCAATTGCTTTCTTTTTCCATTTGTGTTCGTATTCAACAACTAGGGTAAGTCACCTGATGGAATTATCTCTTGACCAAGAGATGTTCATGGAATCAAAAAATGATTGCAAGAATGATGCCAATGAGTTGAACTTATTTGTTGCGGATGGAAGCATTCCGCAGGTGAATATATTTCTCTGTATTTACTGGTGTTATTAATGTCGTCCTAATGATAGTATTGAGGAGCTATTGTTGTGTAATTGTTGTTTTATTTGATTACAACGTCACTGTTATGTTGGAGGGTGAACAATGCGTTATTTAGGTATTAACATGGTGTTATAGTTTTAGCATTGGTTCTAATTACCCGGTTTAGTTGGAATTTTATGTTGACTGTTAATGGTATTGTCCTTTTGGTATTGTGGTTGTTTTTGTCCTGATTTTTTGCTTACAAGGGTAGTTGGGTGTTATTTAGGTTTTATCATGGGTTATACTAGTGTTATTGGATCTAATTAACGGTTTTATTGGAGTGTCATGTTGCCATTGTAATTAGTGTTATTTTGGTTTTATTATGGTGGTATTATTGTATTATTTCTGTAGTATTGGCTTTGAACAATACATTTGTGTTATTATGGTATTATTTTTATATTATTATGGTGGGATTATGTAATATGGGATTATTTTTGTATCCTTTTATACTAGTCTTATTTTATTTATTAAGTGGTTTTGTGGAAGTGTTATTTTCGTCATTCCGATGGTGGTATCTTGTAATTTGCAGTTCATCAAGCTTGTAAGTGTGTGCATTGATCCAATTTTGGATAGGTTGCTTCACGCAGAGGGAAATGGTTCATAATGAGAAGGAAACCTATGAATAATATTGTGTATATGCACACAAAATTTGATTCACTGTGCGAAAGGACCACATTGGTTTTTTGCCAAATTCAAAGAGGATTAAGATAAAGGATTTTATTTATGTTAAGGTTGGTTTCAAGAAAGAATTGAAAAACAATGTGACGTGAAGTTCAGAAGAGGGGACACAAGGACTGGTCGTCCAGCCATGATCCGATTTGTCGTCGATGTCGAAGGTAACTGGACGGTTAAGAAATTTATAGAATGTCCGAACCATCCTTTTGGCGGCGGACGGTGGCAAACATCTATTGCGTTCCAGCAGAAAGCTGAGTGATATTAATGCAGAAGTGCTCAGATCGATAACATGATCTAGGATTAGAACAAGCGATGCATTTAGTGTTCTGGCTACAAAGTTTCGGGAGTAGAGAATCTTGATTAAACGAAGAGCGATGCTTGGAATTTCATACATAGAGAGAGAAGAGTTAAAATTTAACATGGGAACACTAATTGTCTACTACGGTTGTTCACTGAGAGGCAAGCTGAAGATATAATGTTTGCATGGGACATTCAAATTGATCAGTCTGTTAGTTTGTTGAATTTCGTTTGGAGTGATGGGGTATCAATGCTTGATTACGATTGCTTTGGGCAAGTCATAATATTTGATACAAGTTATAGGCTAAATAAATATAATTTTTGTTGTGATCCTTTTATCGGTGTGAACCACCACTGGTAGAATGTTCTATTTGGAGTTGGCTTTTAGTGAGATGAAACAGTTGAGTCATCAAGTGGCTATTCAAATAATTTATTTGGATAATGAATAACAAGCACCTGAGAACAATATTTACTGACCAGGATCAAGCAATGGCTAGAGTTTTTGAAGAATGTCGGCTGTACACTAGAAATAGATTATGTCAATGGGATTGTGGCCTAAACACCTAAAGGGCCACAAGACAATCATGGGTGTGCAATATGTTAGGTGGATCCTATAAAATGACACTAAATATTTGACTCTAATGAAGATGTTAGTCTCCACATAACTGTTAATCATATTTTGTCATTAGTATTCCAACTTTTTAATCCTTCTTTTCATCTTGGGGCCAGATTGGTGAGCACCACATAGTTCAAAGTGTATCTCCTCAATGATCTTCTAGACATTGTGCTTATACAAGTAATGTGGTCACATACGATCGAAAGACCTTCACTATAATAAGTTATTTATCAGCATATAAGATAATGCTCTATTTTTAATTGATGAGCTAATGACTTTTCTTGAGGCAGGTTACCTTTTTTATAATGATGACTAGCATGTTCATCAAAGTATATTACATAATAGCTCTAGGTTGTGATGGAAGGCACTAAGTTGACTCCCTTTTAGAAAAAAAACTACACCTTGATTATATTATGATCATTATCATGTGCTTTTTACATCAAGAATAAAAACATGTATGTATAATAATCAATAATGCACTTTTAAAGTCATAAGTTTAGTTAAAATTTATATATGAAGTTTGATATTTATTATGAAGTTTTCTTAAGAAATTTCTCGTATATGAAAAAGGTCTTAGAAAGATAGTAGATAGGGAGGTTGTCTTGGGCATGTGATAAAGTGGTAAAAAGAAATTTCCAAACTATCATAATGTTTAGAATAATAAATCATTCGTTTGAGGTTACGAGTAGTGTTATCACCCAACTAATCTTATCTTATGTTTTAATTAATTGATGCAATAATACATAGTTAAAGATAAGAGAACCTTGATTAGCAACATGGATGACCTTAACTAAAATTAATGTTCTTTTGAGGCTATAATAAAGGTTGAAATAGTATAAAATTATATCTTATAAATAAATCCAAACTTTTGTGCATTATAATATTAGAAGGAAATATAGAAAGGGATTTTATCATCTTATTGTGATTCAAAGACCTTACTTATATACATACAGATAATTTCTGAAATAAATCATACACAAACATTTACAAGAGGTTTGTTCCATTAAAAATTTATTAAGGAATAAATTTAATGGAACAACTTAATCAAAATAATTCAACTAATGTGAGTTATAGTTTACAAAAAAAAATGTCATTCAATATTTTTAAAGTAGGCATTTATAAAATATAACATGCAACAATTATGACTGATGTACTTCATAATAGAAGTAAAAAGAGTATTATGGTATTGATGATATTGTTAAGAGACCTTTAGTTGTATACTTGATCATTTTTCTTATAAGAGGAGAGAACATCAATTAAAAATAAAGGCATTAACTTAGATAAAGCATAAAAAATGTGATAATGACAAGATTCAACCATATTAACAATGATGGAAGTTGGCTTCGATGGCTGGAATTGACCATTATCTTGGGTAGTAATAGTAGCAATTGGATTTTATAACAATAATATAATAAATGATGGGCATCCATTTTGGAAGTGAATATTATTATTCGAGTTGGTGTTAACAATGAATGGTGATTATATTAGCACACACAAGCATCAACATTAGGGTCATTGTTAGGCATCAATAATAGTGGTGATAACATGTGTCAATATTGGTGGCAACACAGGTATTGGTGTTTTCATCAATAAAGGACATCAGTGTATGTTGTGATTAGGAGCATTAGGATTGACATTAATGATAGGGGTCAACATTGTTGGTGATAGTAGGGAGCTATACAAGGTAAATGGCTAATGTAAACCGTTTTTGTGAAGATGGATGCTAACCTTGGTGCATAAGATGACTATTAATTTTGGTGGCACTGGAATGCATTAGACTTGTTCAGATGCATTAATGTTTAGTACAAGGACGGGTGTTTTGACTTATTTATGATAATGCATGTCTATTCTAGGATTAAAGCACACTATCAAACAAATCATGTTAAACTTCTTTAAGCAAACTTATTTTTGGTCATGTTAATTTATTAATGATATAAGAATTCAACAATCTCAAATATGTCATAGTCTGTTTTTTCATACTATTCAATTAATCATTTGCTTAAAATGGAACTCAGATAATCTTAAAATTTGAAAATTTTTTTACTCGAATTCTTCTGTGCTTTGAGATTTAAGACAAGTGCTGTCCAATATTTTTTGGATTGGATTGATCATTGAGATCGAGCAAGGAGAATGGTATGCTTAAACTGCCCCAATAAATTTCCCCCAAAACCGCCTAATCGAGATGAATATAATTGCAACCAACAGAAACTAGATTCACTAAATGAAAATATAATAGCTGCCTAGAGAGTGCATAAGTACTATTTCTAGCCTCTGGCATACATGGGAAGTGGAAACTACGGCAAACATAATCAAAGTACTCGACGACAATCAAACGGTAATCCTGATATCGTCTTGCATTTACCTAGTTCACCCGATATTCCTTATTGAAAGGCTGCGTCTTGATCAACGGATTTCTCTCGAAGAAGTTAAATGGACGAAGCTCAAACTCACAGGTTTACATCGGCGACAATGGAAAATCCTCTTGGCTTGGAAAGTGATGTATGCCTACAGTTTATCATAATACAATATCTGTGTTGTTGATGGATCGATTCCTGCATTAAAAGTTTGGAGATAAATAAGAATCTGGAATTAAACATCCAACGATGAATAATTAGTCATAAAAAGAGCAGAATTACATACCTCATGCTTGTTTGATGTAAATTTAATATGGATTGTTTGAAGTAAAATTATGTGCAAAATAAACATACCTCATGCTCCAAGCTGCCAAGTTATCATCCCCGCTACTCTGATCTGCATAGAGCCCGGAAACCCACTTATCTTTCTTGTTGTATGGCGTCACCCACAATTGCTTCTTGGTGTAACCTGCTCTAATTTGCGGGTAGTCATCATCAATCAAAAGAGAGGTAGCTGCCGCACTACTGCTGATGAGGCGATAGCCAACCATGTTGCCGAGCTTAGTCTTCACATCTTGGTTCACAACAAACAATTCTACTGGCGGCGCTGTGTTGAAGTTCATGCGACCATCGGCCTAAGTGGTCACCGTCTCTTTGACGACAGTCCAGTAGATCTTCCTCGGCGTACTTCCACCATTCACCGTCACTATCTTGAGGTTGGCCTTCACAAAGGAGTTAGCCGTGCCGGCGACGTCGAGGTCAAGATGATAGCTAATGTAGTGGTCAGGGGAGACACTGATAGTATTGGGTGCCACCAACTCTCCGTGCTGCTTACCTCTTATCTGATTCACATGAGTGTAACTTGTGGCTCGGACTTCCATCATTCCGGTGAACCCTACCTGGACAATGAGATGCAAGTTGTTTATCATTGATATATTAAGAATGATTAAGATTGATATTTTAGGGTTAGCCTGCTTACCCAAACTTTGATGGCGCCGCATGTCTTGAATTCCCAGTCGAAGACATAGTCATAATTCCTCGACATCGCCACCGACCTTACCACCAAGTTTACCTCCGCTCTAGCTTCGGTGACATGGAAGTCATTGGCTATTTTAAAATTAACGACTCATTTTTAACTTCAAGTAAGGAATTACCAATTATGGTCATCTAATTTACTCTAAACAATTCAAATTAGTAAAATAATTTTATTTATAAAATATTCAAAATTTCAAGTAAATAAAGATTAACGATGGTTAAAATATAATTATGTGTTTTATACAAACAACATTGTAGGGAGGATGCCAAGCAAAAAAATTGAAGGCATTTCATAGTATCAAAAAGTTAAATAAAAGTTAAATTGCATATTTTAAAATTTTATTTTTCACTACTAAAAATAATCGAGGTCAGTTATATGGCACTTTGTTTTTACAAAATGATAAATGTTGGACCCCGACTTATCCATAAACTCGCCTTACCAAGAAGAGTGTTGAAGAAAAAGAGCTGCAATATAAGTGAGATGGGAGAAAATGAGAGCAAATTAATACTTCTAATTTCTCTCTCAGAAAGAAATTCCTTACACTACTCTTCTCAACTAGGATGTGAGTCAAAAGGTGTGAGATAATTTTCCAAACAATTCATATTTATAAAATTTCAAACAACCAAAAACTATTTTGTTGTGAATTTCACATTTAATGAGCTCTTAGGTGATTACCACAAAAAGGATGAGCCCTTCCAAACAAAAAAAGTGACGCACCGAATTTGAATGATCCACTCACCCTTCTTAAGAGAAGGATCTACTTAGCCAAAGAGGAAGTTAAATAATAATCCATTCAAAACTCTCTCCCATCAGAATAAGGGAATTTTCACTGTAGCATTGTGGGAGAGAGCACTCAATCCAAATGTATGTTATTTTCAAAGCCTGTGTTGCCCCAAAAGGATTTGAGTGTTGGAGGGATTCAATGAATAGACATTTGCTCCTTTGAGATGAACATTTTGTGTTTTCCAACTACTGCTAATGAGGTTGAACTTGCATGATAATTGACTAAGCTATGATATGAAATTACTAAATTGATGGGTGCCATTGATGATCTGAACAAAGAGATGAATGAGTTGACTGAAAAAATTCTCATGCTTCAAATACACATGGAATCTACCCACTTAGCCATGAATGTGTGTTAAACTGAATTATTTAAATTTGTTATGTTCCTTTGAATATTATTAGGTTGAATCCATTTTTTGAATTCTTTTTCTCAATTGTGTGTGTAATTAGGTGTTTGCCTAGTGTAACTCATGCAAATTGTCTGTATCTGATGGTTGTAATAAAAAGATTTTCACAAATAAAAGGAATATTTTCTTGCTTCTTTAATTTGATTTTTGATTTAATGAGTTGAAATATTTTTTATTTTTTTGGTATAATTTTAAAAATTAATGAGTGTACCTTCACATTTTATCCCTATCAAGATCATGGTGTCGCCTATGAAATGGTGTCTGTCGTAGTGTTTGAAACTCATTTATTCAATGCAAAATGTACCTTTGTCTCCATTTTCTCTTCAATTTTTTGTATCTCCTTGCCATGTATGTTACGATTTGCACTAGTCACACAAGATTCATGGAGGCAGAATTTTCAAGGAAATTTAAAAATGTCAAACGAGGAGATGGATATGGAACAACAAGAGTTCATGTTCAATTCATCCATTTGACTATAATAAGTAAAAAAAAGTAATCCTAAGCAAAACCTATGAATGAACTACAATTTTGACATGATTAGTTTTGATCTAGGTTGAGGCTTCCTATTTGTGTCAAGTTAATCAACATCTATAGCCCCAATGACATCATTCCAGCTTAGATGATGCCAAATTACTTAGTCCATATTTCCATAATGAATTTATTTATGAGAAAAATGATGATCCCCTGGTTGATATGTCTGTTTCATAGCTTCCTTACTGTTAAGAAGTACATTTGTGGATTTATTCAATTCTCCGCAATAGGGGTCAAGCTATAGGTTCTAAGAATGGAAAAGGAAGTTTTGGTATGCATTCTCCATGAAAGGGTGTTGATTAGAACTAGCTTTAGCCACATTTTCTTGGTAAGAGTAAGAAATAGATGACTTTAGAAGAGGTAGTGAGATCCACACTATTGCAGGATCCTATTTCTGACATTAATAGCTTCTTAGATTATCTCTTCATAGGTAGGATTCTAGACCATATGTACTTTTCCTATATATTATAAAACTTTAACTTGGTAATGATGGATGAATTATGCATAAAAAATTTAGTAGCTTCCTATAGCCTCCTTTCACTGCTCATTTTTTTTGTGGACCTGAGGATGATGACAATATCTTGGTTTCATGAGATAAGAAACAAGATGTTGTAGATGTCAGGGTAAGTCATGATCAGATACAACTAGCTCATTTATTTTATATGATGCCTCACCCCCACCCCCTCCCTCTAATTATGCTATTTATTTGATGATTTTATTATCCAGTAAATAGATATGGAAGTTGCACACTTCATATCTTAAGTATATCTAAGTATTTTTTTTATACATCTCCTATTGACTCACTCTATAGAAGGCAGGAGTTGGTGAACACACAACTATTCTGAGGAAAAAGTCTTCTTATGAAATTACGAAGAGGTCATTGGTCCAACACCATTTGAGGAAGCTACAATAGATAGCTAGGGAATGATTTAGTTTATTTGTAATTAAAATGTTGAATCCTCAGTGTTCAAGGACGTATCCAAGAAGTTGAGACTTTTTTAGGGAAGTTGTATTATTGACTAAAGATGAGGCTGCTAGCCAAAAGAAATAAATAATAAAGTGGTCATCAAATTGAAGATGTAGAACCTCCCTCATTGGAAAAAAAATGTAAGATTGTTACTAAAGATCCTGAAAGAAAAGGTGAGCCCACCTCCAAGAAGACTTAAGCTGGTCATACTAATAAGAAAAATTCTATCCGCGCTAAAAAGGTTGGGCGTTGTGAAGTTGTTGGTTGCCAGGATGGATACCCCAACAACCATTTTAATTTAACCTAATATATAATTTTAAAAAATAGTATTTTGGATTTTTAAAAATACAAGACCAGAACGATCTCGTATCCCCGGTAGTTTAAATAAATGAGACTAATGTCGTAAATAATGCATTCATCCCGAAGTATAAACACATTACTTACTAGTAAGACTCGATCAAATAAACTAAAAATTGTATGACATTTGTTAAGTCTGTGAAACCATTTTTTTATTATAAGCCGACAATTTCCCCTTTTAATATGAAGGATAAAGATTTTTATCGAGTTTTACATATGTTATGGTTATTTAAATATTATGGGGCATATTAAAGTTGATTGGAGCGACACCAATTAGGATCCTACGGTTTACTCGTTCCGGTACAACTATTCAACTATTTTCTTTTTCTTTTGGATTCACTTAGTCCAAATGGATTTACTAAACTCAACTCAATGAGCTCCATAGTTTCATTTAGACCGTGGGAAATCTTGTTAGCAACCGTAGGTTACCTCCTTTAAGGGATTCCCGATCATCTGATAGAGATGTTTTAATTTAGTTGCAATTTTGGTTTTGTTGTGTTTGTGATTAAATTTTCAGTTGTCTTAGATTTTGAATGTTATGGTGGTGAATTTTATCTTGTTTGATTTTTAAATTTTTGTTTCAGTTTCAATTCTGTGGTGATCCTAAAAGTTTTAGTTTTGACATGCAGGGTGACATTGTTGTTTAACATGCAAGTTCGGGACAAGAAGTACAAAGAGGTAAATGCAATAATTTAAAGCGTACATGTCTATTCTTCTTGCTCCTTGAATTGAAACTTTAGTATCATTGCAAGACACACACACACACACAGAATACCCAAGACACACACATATGGAAATCTAGGGCTTGAAGAGAGGTTTGGGGGGTGTGTGGTGTGTGTGTGTGTGTGTGTGTGTGTGTATATAGACACATACACACCTAAACACACACGATTCAAATTTGTTGCTAGTCCACAAAAGTGCTCAGAAGCAAACCTAATTTGATGATGTAGTGATCCCTGCGTCAAAAACTTGATCCTGAAGCTACTTATATGCAATAGTATAACAATATTTCTGATTATATTTTTCACTTATATTTCCTTATATTGCAACAAAAAAAAAAACTTGATTCTGAAGAAAAATAAGAATTCAAATTTTAATTTATATATATTGGGATACTGCACAAATATGCATATCGTTATCAAGTAATATAAAACTTTTTTATTAAGACCTGAATATCGAACCTACAGGGAACAGGGAGAATACACAAAATACACAATATGCACTATTGAACATCGGACTTTATATTCTTAAAAAAAAGATAATTATCTAAACTAAAGATCATTTTTGCAGTAATGAAAATTTAAATATTTTTGGTATTTTCAATATTTTGATAGAACAATAACAATTTAAAAAGATAACAAGAGCTTTTGTAGCAAAAAAAGCACTAAATGTGAAAATATCTCTCTTCTTATTATGAATCAGTAATAAGTATAAGAATCCTGTTATGGAAGTATGCAAACTATGTTGTGCCAAATAGGAGCAATAATATTCTTTACCCTTACTAGAGATTCTATAAAGAACATTAACTAATTTAAAGTTTGAATAGTTCTGAAGTCCGGCTAGGCAGGGAAGATACTAGCTCTCACTCTAGAGTTCCTTTGATTCACTCCACATGGGGGCTAACATTCTCGTGTTAGAACCTAAAATAATAAGCCAAGTTGGGGCTATCACTTTAAAGTCCTCTAACTCTACACTCTTCAATGAATATTTTCTTATTTATTTGCACTCAATCATATGAACCACATTCTCATTCATACAAACTTATGTGCTTCTTTTAATTGTTGACTGAGACAATACCAACCCGGTTCTTACATGTTCTCACAAAAAATTTTAACATTTGGATTGGCTAAATCAAGAAGTCAATGAATTGCATGGATTTAAATCATCACAACTTCTTCCATCATTGAAGATCAATACTTTCCACAACTCCTATCCAAAACTTAATTACTTATCATTTTAAGAAG